TCAGGGAAATGCAAATTAAACCCACAGTAAGACACCATATAATCACCACCCAATTGTCAAATATAAAAGATAGTCAAGACCAAGTGTTTGCTAAGATATGGAACAATGGCACTCAACCATTGCCAGGGGGAACGTAAACTGGTACAAATGCTTTCAGAAACAGTTCAGCATGACCAAGCAAAACCTGCTTCTTAGAGCTGTGGTTCTCAAATTTTTGGTCTCAGAACCTCTTTGCATCCTTAAAAAATACTGAGGACCTCAAAAATCAGTTGTTTGTGTGGGTTATATTTATCAATATTTACCAAATTGAAAATTAAAAGAGGCATTTTCAAAACACAAAAATATACAAGTATACACTTGATTAGCTGTCAGAGTGATGATGTCATCATTTCTGGAAAAATACATAAACTCATGAAAAATGACAGTGAAAAGGACAAATAATGTTTTAGTAATTTTACGAAAATAATTTTGTCCTCACAAAGCCCCTGAAAGGGTCCCTGGACCATACTTTGAACACAACCTCCCTGGAGCAAATCTTGTACATGTGCGCCAGGGGAAAGGTACAAGAATTCATTCATTCCTCAAATATTTATTAGCATCGCCATGTGCCCTCCATTGTCCTAGACATCGTGAGTGTCTCAACAGACAAGATCAGACAAAACAGACAAAATCCCTGCCCGCATGGAGCTTCCATTGTAATTGGCAGAATGTTCTGGGCAGCACTGTTTGATAGCTCAAAATGGAAAACAATCCAAATCTCCATGAACAGAAGAACAGATAAGTAAAGTGTGGGAGAGCCACACAATGGAATACGATACAGCGGTGAGAACAAATGAAATGCGGTTACATGCATAAACACGGATGGGAATTTCAAAACCAATGCCTGAAAAAAGTCACAGAAGGATATAATGCAGCAGGAAACCATTTACATGAAAGTTCAAAACCAGGTAAATCTAAACAGCATACTATTAGGGATACATACATAGACGGTAGAACCATAAATAAAAACATGGGAATTATTAACAAAAAAATCCAGACCCCCCCCCCCCCCCCCCCCCCCCCCGCGGCGGGGGCCCCCCGGGCGGCCAGGAAAAATAGGGGCATTCTGGGTATCTGAGAATGTTGTAGTTCTTATGCTGAAGGTTGAATACATGTGTGATCATTTTATTTCACAAGAAATGTTTTATTATTTTTTTTTTAATTTTTTTTTCAACTTTTATTTATTTTTGGGACAGAGAGAGACAGAGCATGAACGGGGGAGGGGCAGAGAGAGAGGGAGACACAGAATCGGAAACAGGCTCCAGGCTCTGAGCCATCAGCCCAGAGCCTGACGCGGGGCTCGAACCCACTGACCGCGAGATCGTGACCTGGCTGAAGTCGGACGCTTAACCGACTGCGCCACCCAGGCGCCCCACAAGAAATATTTTAAAAGAAAAAAGCTATAAGGTTATTTAATACATAATTTCATCAATAAAGAGAGGGAACATCTCCTCGTATTTCAGCTACTGCTGTGCACTGCAAATCAGCTAATTGTTTTAACTGGTAGGGAAGAAGCACCTGATAAAATAGAAAAAGAGGGATGAGATGCACTACTCCTCACGGAAGTTAACCAGTTTCCCAAAGGTTCAGATCCAAAGAGATGGGAGTATTACAGTCCTGCTCTGCCAGGATGAATCAGAGTCACCAACATGACACTGGTTAACCGGTTACTTTGTACACTGGGTGTAATCTCTTGTATAAAGCAGAAAATAGAGACAGGTGATGCGAATTCCAAAATAAATGGATGGAGACGCTGCCTCTTTACTGAATTCTGCTGACTTTCAATAGTACAAATTCCCTTTGGCACATTCTCCTAATAACGTATTTATGTATTAAGTAACCCCCCAAATACAGAAAGCGCATGGTAGTTATTGTCTCTCCACATTGGTCAATAACAGTGTCAGGTTGGTCACACAAATGTCATAACAATTTTGTAATCGTGACTTTGCCAAGGTCATTGCTGGCAGTGACACTGCGCAGATTAAATAAGGGATAGTTAAGGTGCAATTTTTCCTGATTCAGGAAAATAGCCATAAATTTGTTACACAATTTCAAAACTTGAAAAAAAGAAAAAAAACAAAACAAAACATCTTGAAACATTCCATCCATCCCCTTTCCCCAAACGGCAAGCTAAAGTTATTATCTTGGGTGAGTTGCTTCAAGAGGTAGATCAGGCCTGGCAGCAAAAGGACTGCAACCCATTCCCAGAAAATGGGGAAATCCAAAGTGTATTCTCCAGGCCCAATCTCGCCCCCACTGGGTCTAACACAGGGCCAACACACTGGAAAGTTCCAGATATTGCTGTAGCTATTTTAAAAATCCCAGGCAGCTACAAGACCTAAAAATCTCACCTTTATTTAAAGTGGAAGGGACAACACCACCAGGGGGCGCTAAACTGCAAGTGGTGGCAGGATGACTGTAGAGGAGGGGTGGGATGAGCTGAGGGTCCAGCTACTCCGCCATCTTGCACCCCCCAGGGCAGGATGACTTTTATATCAGAAAGTCGGACCTTCAGAACTCTGCCCACTCTCTTACATGCTATGCTGCCCTAAGTATCACACCCACACCTTTATTATGATGGACGGTCATTAATATACTGGCAGCTTTTTCCTCCCTCTCCAGTAAGAAACAGAGAAATTAGGAGGGAACCTTTCTCAAGTTCTTAAGGAACTTCCACTCTGTCTCCCCAGATACAAGGAATGAGTGATCCTCTTGGTCACAGCTGGATATTTGTTGGACCATGATTAACTAGTGGATAGAGTTATTCCATGTTCAAAAACAAATACAAGTCCTACCTTTTCTTTTTAACCTGCAAATGCTCAGGCACAGGTTCTCCTGTGCCTTCCTCAGTTCTCCTCCTTTAGCTTTTTGTCCCTGGGTGGTAAGGAGACCAGGAAGGGGGAGGTGGGTAGGAAGGGGGCCATTTCCTTCTCTGTAGTAGCTTTCATTACTGATATAACACAAACTCATACTTTCTACATTTTTTTTTTAGCTTCAGGAGTAAACACCCTGACATCTCTAAATACTCTGCAAAGACTTTTTGTTGAACCAGCAAAATCAAAACAGGAAATAGAGAATCCTTCTGTTGTCTCTACTGCCTCATACCTGTGACTTCCTAACCTTCTCTCTATCTAAGGCCAAAGGCTTTATAACCTGTATTCTCAAGACTTTTGAATTTGAGACACTGGCATTACTAGTAGTCAGATTGCAAATATGATGGCCTTTAAGTATCAGGCCCTTGTTCAATTCAATTTATCCAAGGCACTAAATACACAAAAGAACCTCACACTCTGTTTCAGATGACCTTGCTGAAATTAACAATCTCACAAGTGGACATTTCTTGATTTTAGCTCCTCAGAGGATAGGAAAGAAGCAAATAGATACTAATAAGATACAGAAATCTATTCTGAACAAGGAGGCTGATATCTTTGGATCTTAAAGCCTTTTCTTTCTTCATTCAGTTTATAGAAATTTTTCTCCCCAGAATGTTGTATTTCATGTTTTTTCAGGCATGATTAAAAAAAAAAAGAAAGAAAGAAAGAAAAGAAAAAAGAGTCTTCTTGAGTTATAGAAATAGTATGGAATCCCAACTCTAACTGGGAAACCTGGAAGGAAGTTGTGCCAATGTCACGTTGTTTTCTAGTGGTGTAAGAATCCTTTGTCCTATAAGCTTGGAGGTGACAATAGTGGCCTGACTTGATATGTATTAATGCTGGTGTTCTATGTCTTCCAGCAGTCCCAGTGCTTAATATCAAATAGGTAGGTTGTTTTTTCTAATGTTAGACAAGAGTCCATGGCTTTTCTATAAGGAAATAGTTTGGAAATATTTTTAGCTCATTTTCCATTTCATCCAATGTTAGAAATCATAACCCAGCAATACCTACCAATCTCACTAAATGCTCAGATCTTTTTAGGTCAAAGACTTCTGCTTGAGACCTATACATACCTATGTTAAATCCCGTTTAGCCCAGTATATATGTGACATATTCTTTATTTATCCCAGAACTCTTAGGAACCGAAGTAAGAGCTAAAATCTGTTTCCCTATCAAAGCCTTCCTCCCACTCTGACCCCAATTTGAGAGAGGGGAGTGAGAATATGGAGAAACGTGGTGACAATTTTCCTTAATCATGTTAACACATATTTAAGTACCAGCTAAATGGCTGATATGGAAGAAATAGAAAGACCCACTCTCTACCTCAAAGACCTACCATCTAGAGGCAGAGGGAGAGAACAATGCTAACAAGTAAGGACACAATGTTTTTTAGGCAGCTATGACAGAAGATTTGACAAAGGACAGTGGGGGCATAAGACAAAGGGGTCAAATCTACCTGGAAATGGAGCATGTCAGGAAATGCTTCATCTTGAAATCTTGAAAAAGGACGTGAGTCTTGAAAAAAACAAATGAAGGCAGGTGCGAGTAGAAAAGGGGCCTACAGACAGGAGGAGTTACGGGAAGGAAGAGCTAGCGGTAGCACAGAAGCCAAGAAAATGTCCAAGTGTCCAGGGAATGGTTAAGTTACAAATGACAAGAGAAATCACTAGATTTGGGAAATGAGAAGTTATCCCTGACCTTTGCTAGAGCCGTTTTGATGGAATAGCAGGACAGAAGTCTGGCTGCTGTGAATTAAAATGGGTGAAAAGCATACAGACAAAAAATTAAAAGCAACTAGAGGACAAAAGAGATGACAACAGTTTAGATTTGTCTCCTGGAGCCATGTGCCTTTTTACTTACTAGCTCAGCCACAGTAAGGGTTAGAGAGACAGGCTTTACATTTCTATGAGAAAATGACTCCCAAACACAATTCACTAACTTAAAAACAAGTTTTCGGATACAATCTATTCTTTATGAGACTGCCTATGTTATTTTAAGTGAACGATATAAAATCAACATTTTACAGATTTACTCTGCCATCCATCACTAATTCTTCTCTCATATAGTTCAAAACAAATAACACCTGTAATTGGTTATAATAGAAAAGGTGCTTTATTTTACACATCATTGGTACATAACACATAAAACTGTCTAAAATCAGTCTTGGGAAATGCAACTGTCAGTGTATACCTTAAGCAGTCAAAGACCAAGTCTATTTTGCAACCTATTTCATTCATGGGCAGATTACTGCAATAACTTTCAACCTAATTATCTCTTCATAGGCAATGTTACAAGTGATTTTGATGCTACAAGTGCTGCAATTTTTTAAAATAAAAATACCTTCAGTTATAATAGACCAGATCTCTAACCAGAACAAATCTTGGCTAGACTACAAGTCTTTGAAATAACAGGCCAACAGTTTCACCTGCTTAGAGGTGATTATATTTATGTAATTGGGTTATAGAGCAAGGGGGCCTCATACATGCAATCAGATTGTTTTTTTTTTTAATGCAGATAACAGTGAGTTTATAATACCCTATTTCTAGTTAAACTGCCAAAACAGTTTACTAAGCTAAAACAAAGCCAATACAATATCTTAGAAAATATAATTCTAAGAGCATGCAACATCAAAATCTTTTTACTACATATGTGAACCAAAGTTGTAGAGCCCAGGTAGAGGACTATGGCACAAAGGCTTGTACATCTGAATTGCTTATTCAGCAAGGAGGGGTAAAGAGTCATTTAACTCAGCGTAAATCCTCATATGAAAGATACCTGCATGATCTAGCCCACTGCTACTCAAAGGGATCTTCGCTTAGAAAATGTGCAAATCATAGGAAGCTAAATGCACTTCTCTTGTTATTTACCCTAGTACATTCTATTCATGAACACGCAGCTTAAAGATCTGTTATTAACTATGAATGTCAAGCCACAGAGATCTCTCAATGGCATCTTTCAGTCACCAATAAATATGACCAGTGCTTAATGCACAAATGCCAAAAAACAAAACAAAACAAAACGATAACAGAATCTGGGCTAATTGTCAAAGTAAAAACATTTGTTATTTTCACAAATCCCTTGGTATATAGCAAGACTGCGTTTCTCTCTAGAAAATAAGATGTATTTAGAACCACAGGTTCATAGCACAACAGAGGCATATAAGCAAAGTAAACTAAACCAAATACTAAATAGTTACAAATGTGCACACTCAAACAAATATTCTATTCTTTGCTTAAAGTCAACTTCGTCCTTGTCATTAAGGGAAGTGCTTCAAGATGCAAATTGTTAATTAATGCAGAGAATAAGGAGTTAAAAGCCAGACTTTTTTCTAATAAAGCAGATAAATCATTAAATTGGACTTGAAACATATACTTACTATAACTTTTCATTCTTACTCTTTTTATAACTAAGCACACAAATATACACAAAAAACCCTAGCATTTAATATGTGCAAAACTGCTTACCATTTATTTTAACTTTGGTTAAGTATTTGTTTAGCCTATACCAGACATATTATGGAAGCTATACAAATGATTACAAACATAATAATGAGGTAAGTTAAAATTCTACTAGTGCAAAAAGCAAGCATATGCTAAAAGCAAAGCATATGAATTTAACAAATGCAGAATGAAGCTCTCACCAAGGGAGGTGCTGAGACAACAAACCAGAGAAGCTCCTTGTAAACATTGTTTGTAAAAATACACATTTAAAGATTTAGGATTCATACAGCCACAAAAAAGGTATTCTAATAACACCAGAGTAGTGCATTTATTTTACCTTTAGAGTTTGGAAATCACTCATTATGTGTCTAACAGCTTGCATATTTTCTTCAAGAGAAACTTAATTAGTGAGACACATTAATTACAAATACTGTAGTATAAAAATCCCAGTTCTTTACAAAAATTATATATTAAAATATTCTATACACTTTAAATTAGTAACTGGAACATACACATATATCAATCCTGCACAATTAAATCCATCGTGGCCGGGAGTATTATATGTGAAGCTCGAGGACACAGCTACTCAGTCCACCTGACCTGGCATAAGGTCGCATGGTAGAAACAGATAGGCCTGGGCCCCTGCAGTTATTACGGCTCTTAGTTTGAACCATCTTTTCTGCAGTTATATTGCTCTGTATATTCACTCCAGATTTGTATCGGCAGCAGAACCGGGAAATTCCTAAAAGGTTCAAAACAAGCTACCTGTGGCAGAGTATCCATAATGCCTATCTGCATCTTTAAGGTTGCAATGGGACCTGAGTAAGCTGTCTAATGCTTATTTTTCAGTTGTAAAAAACTTTATACAATTTTGAGGTAAAAACAATGCAAAAATAAAACATTTAGAGCATTTACAAAAATCTTACAAATGTTTAAAACACTATTTCAAAACTTGTGTCCTGTTAAGGTGCTTCTTTCTTTCTGCAATAAAGAGGACATGTACTTCAATTTTGAATTTTAAATTCGCGTGTTTTAGTTTCAGCAAAAGCAAAGTTAGAGCCATTAAAACACTTGCTAAAATGTTCACAGATATACTTTGCTTCTGATGAAAAGACAGCATTTTAGTGCTGAAAGAAACCTTATATGTAAATTCTTTTAACTCCCTCTTGTATTAATGAGGAAATCAAAGACCAGGTACATTAAGTGCTTTGGCCAAAAATATATTCCAATGTATCAGCCTGGTATGAATCAAGAAAACCCATTACTCTTTTTGTATTTTGCCATGATTCTTGGAAAATAAAGAAAATTCAAAACCAGAGTTTCTAAACTCGCCTCTTTCTTTTTTAATTTCTTAAGCTCTGTGCTAACTGTAGGTAAACAAAAAAATGAATCAAATAGCGGTTCCTAATATTAGTATCACAGATATTATCCAGTAGAAGACAGTTGTTAGAGAATCACTGCTCATATAGAATAATAAAGTTATAGGGAGTACTCAAAGACAGGGCCTTTACAATGGAGAGAACATCTACTAAGTAAGACAGCACAGTGTACAACAGCCAGTTACTAGAATCATCTCAATACCTCTAGGATGACTGAGTTACGTGGCCTTTAGAAAAGATATTGGGGTAATAAAGCCTTCTAGCTTTTATCTTAATTTTACTATTTTCCTTTATAAAAGAGCAGTTATATAACTGTAAGGATGAATCCATACACTAATTTTCAGAGAGTCTTTGCTTCTTTTCTATTTTTATTTGGATCTAAAATTGAGCAAATACATTTTAAGAACAACTTACAAACTCAAACTCATAAGTGCTAGAAATACAGTCAGAGAATACTCTTTTAAATGACAAATCTTCATAACCAGTTACTAATAAATAATTATCACAATAGCTTCAGTAAAAAAAAAAAACAAAAAAAAACAAACAAAAAAAAAAAACAAGAAAAAAAACCTCAATTTAAAGGTGCTTTTTTATTGTTACCTTGAAGCCATCGAACTTGCGTAGCTGGTCCATATCCCTTTTCATTCTTTGCTGATATCCTGAACACAATGGCAGGCCTGGACGTATAATCGATATGTGCATTTGCAAGTTGCCCAGCAGTTACTATACATGATGTCTTAAGACCACAATAAATCCTCATAAACACAAGTTGACTTGGATTATCTTGTATTTGTGCTGTGCGGATAGCCAGGTAGGCTGAATATTCCAAAATATTTCCAGAAGGTGAAGTTGGAGGTTCCCAGGAAAGGTGGATACCCTCAACATTCTTGAAGAGAGGAGAAAAAACAAAAACAAAAACAGGTAAAGGTTCTGAAATTTTCTCTAATATCACTTATAATGTTGAGTCTATCTTTAGAACACAAAATATTGTTTTTTGCTAAAGTAATTGCATTAGATATTAGAACTTTTATTACCGATTTTTTTAAACTTACCTTAATTGGATTTACAATGTTTACTTCATTGCCCACTTTTCAATATCATAACTAGGCTTAAATGTCTGCCTATACCATCCCAAGAAAGGGACTTTTCTTACCTGAAAGCAGATCTTTTCTTCTCTAAAGAGGGGCAGGACCTTAGGATAAAATATAATTCAATTTCATGTGTTCTATTAAAATTCTCCAACACAAACTTTTTGGTTCCATACAACAAGAACAAAGTTAATATTAAGAAGCATACCAGATTTCTCTGACTTTCTAGAATTTGGATGCTGTAATCCTGCTTGAAATTTGGTCCTTAAAATTATGAGTTATTAGCAAGCAATATTTTTTAAACTTTTAATCCACCCCACTTATTACTTAATTTTTCAAAAACTGAAATAGTGTTGACACACAATGTTACATTGGTTTTTAGATACCCCTTTTAGATACCTCTCATTTCATCGGTTACTAACAAGAATCTCTAAACTGATGGTTTTACTTCATGTATAAACTTTCAATAAATAAATCACCAAGACTTGACCGGACATCTCACCTTTGAAATTCTGACTGCAGAAGGAGCTCCAGGAAAACCGGGAATACAAGTTTTAAATTCACTGATTTTGCTGAAAGGGCCTATTCCACATCCATTGATGGCTGCTACCCTGAATCTGTATCCTGTGCCTGGAACAAGATCTTGTTTCTTAAGTAAACTGTAGTCAGGTACGTCCGCATTTCCTATCTAAAATGTAACATATACAAAAGTCAAAGAAAAAGTGCAATTAATTATTTTGTCATTAAACAAGAAAACTTTTCAAAGAATGAATTATGTTTTAAGGTTCTAGTTCACATTTAATTTTTTCCCTCTGTCACACATGGAATAAACCCTCCAAATACAAAAGCAACTAACCCTATAAATCAGTGATTCTTATCTGGAGGAAAAGTGACCTTTCCAGTTAAAAACCACTGATTATAAAAAGAAATTTAAGCATATTCTGCACATGAAGAATGTAAAGGTAGAAAAAAACTGACAACCACTATAAGCAAAGAAACAACCGTCCATATAAACTTAGAATAGAAATCTCAGAGGAATTCTTCTCAGTCTAACCAGGAACAATACCCTTTGGATACAGGCAAGCAAACTTGCCAGAAAAGAAGTGATCAGCATGTATTATGGAGCATTTTAAAAATTAATATTCAGCAGATGCTGAACAAATGTTAAATAATTTGATTGTATACTCTGGGTAGAAAGATCATAACATTCATAACTTTCAAACAATTTTTCCGTATTTTCCCTCTCACTGCACCACTGTGAGACAGGTAGTCCTAATGTATCATTCCCATTTTTAAGGGAGCTTTATCATTTTTATTTTATAAGTGAGGAAACTGAGTCTCAGGTTAAACAAGTGACTTCTCCAAGGTCACACTGTTGAGTGCTGGAACTAATGAATCAAACCCAAGTTTACTGACTCTAAATTTTATGCTGTTTTTCTTTTGGGAAAAACAGGTAATTACTAGGCCCTTAGATATCGTTATTTCTAATATATGAAATTAAGCTACAGCCAGAAATTTCACTAGGTATAATACTAACAAATTATTCACCAGCATTTTCATTTTTGTCAACAATTGGAAAAATTCTATATGAAAAAGAGAGATGCCAGAGGTAATATTAGAGAAACTAAAATAGAATGATAAATGATATATTGTCCGTTTGTGCAGGTCTTTGGGAGAGTCAAACTAAGTAGCTATTTCCTTGGCAATTCACTCTCTGAAATCCCCCATTCCAGAAAAAAATTAGTTCAGTGTGCTTTGGAGCTGTTATCTATTTGATAATTCTTAGAGGGTTAATGTTTATATATATGAGTTCCACTTTAAGGGGTTTCAGAATCAAGAGAAAACTAGATTGTATTCCTTCATCTACAGGGGCTATTAAATTTTTTAAGTTGTGAAATCAGGAATTAAAAAAGTTCTAAGAAAAAATGTTCCATTCTCTAAACATACCAGATAACAAAATTAGAGGTATTTAAAAGACATCCTTATCTGTACTGGCCAGACCATATTAATTTTGACTCAAAATCCAGCCCAGTGATTGTATAAGATTTTTTAAGTGACCTGCTTATGATACAGTCCATAAAAAGAGCCTTATAAAAGAATACAAGATAAGAAGGCATATAGAACTCTTAATTATAGACTGTGAACAGATCCCAATTTCATTCATCCAAAGTGACTTCAATCAGGGTTATAAAAAAAGACCTCATTTGTGACACTTACAAACTCACAGTGTAGAAAACATATCAATAGCTACCTTTGAGATGCTTTGCTTCCCTTTGGGCAGCAAATAAAACTGGCTCACCAAAGCTGTGTTATTTTTAAAAATTCCTACATCACACCACTGTCGTTCTCCTGCTTTCACTGTGGCCACTGGATTTGAAGGAGTCTCTTTCTAATTTTAGAGAAAGAAAAATTTATCAAGACTCTTATTGAGCATATAAGAAACTTCAAGATTTAACAAATCCATGCAGTGATCTACAAGTAGGTATACGGGTAAACACCACAATATTAACAGCTCATAAGTAAATAAACTCTTAACAGATTAGGTCAACTGACAGTGAAACAGGGATGCCAATTCAAACATGGGGAGTGACAGGCATTCTCCAAGTCAGTAGCTCTGGACTATCAACCTAGCTAGAGTTAGCATGCTTTCCAATCAGTGATTTGTTAAACTGCCAGCTGTTTTATAGAACATTGTCATTTCAGAGACTCTCTCAGAAAATGTAATCCCTTTAGTGTGACATTATACCTTGCTCCAAAAGGAGCAAATAAGGAAAAATTCATTCCAAGCTGGCTTATTTCTAGATTCAAAAACAACTAGCAGAAATTCAGTGATCTTTGCACTTGAAATACCTGTGATTCTCCAAACCTAAAAGGAGAAAAAATGTTCAAAACTAAAATGCAATTTGAATATACTTTAGTATATACTAAAGAGGAGCAGATTAAACAGTTTTACATTTTTTACCTTGCTTTAAAACAAATACACTTCCTCTACCTTAAACTACTTTTAGTGATAAGTGAATTATACTTATCCCTGGAACTAACCTTTTTAAGCCATCTTCTTTATAAATGAGACACTGTTTCCAGAAGCTCAAAACAAATGTGCACTTCAGTTATTTATTTCTGTCTTAAATATATAACAGCAGAGGTACATGCTTATAATTCACATTATTTGTTATTTAGGCTATCACACATGACAAAGTGAGCTAACTAGAAAAGTCTTTAAGGTTTTAAAAAAAGGAATAGCTTTAAACTTGTTTTCATTTTTAAAGTTGTAAAAACTCTCTTCAACAACTTTTATAAAACAACTGGCTCCAACTGAAATAACAAATACCATTCTGTCTGATGTGCTGCAAGACAGATTGAAGAGAAAAACGTTCCCTTTAATAATTTTTCCCTGAGTCTAAGAACTCTAGGACTTAACGTAACATTCTGGAAAGGTGAAAGCTGATGAAGATAAAACTACGATCAAAATCCATAAAATCATGATTGAAAGGAAACTAAAACTACAGATAATTCTTGAAGATGCTAAGAGGTAAATATTAGGTCAAATAAAAACTCTTGCTCATAGCAATAAAGCTGAAATGACTCAGTATTTTAAAATAAATTAAAAGGTATATATACACACACATGCACACACACACACATATGTATTACCCTTGTATTTATGTAATTAAGACAGTTGTGTATACTTGTGAGGCACATTCCTAGCATTTTAAGTTTGGTGCCATGCAGACCAGTTCTGGCCTTTCATAAAACGATGCCATGTTGTAGATTATTGGCCTACCCAATAGGTATGCCTACCCAATTTTTATTTTCATATTGCAATATTCTGCTGTTCTCCTAAGAAGTAGCTAGTAATAGAGCCATTCAAGTTTTCCATTCTGTACCATGTCCTTTTACTCTTAAACCACTAATGTAACTTACATATATACGTATATATGTTCACATACACACATACATATTTCTGATTATGAAAGTAACACATTTCACTATACAAAAATACTGAAGGCCCAAAGAAGAAAATAAAAAGCATCTATGGTCGCACAACCTGAAGAAAGTCATCCAGCATTGCAGTATGGATGTATGTGGATTCACGTGAGAGTAGGAATGTATCTACTGTGTGAATCTTTTAATAAAATTGGGACCACAGCATATCTATATTACTTTTTATGCAGCTTTTTTTCACTTAGTGTATACTGTAAACATTTTCCTATTCAAGCCTTCATTTCTCAATCTATGTCAAGTCATTACTAAAGGACACTCAAGAATCTTCTCATGAATTCACACTGAAGTTGCTCAGCATTTAAAGCATACTTGGCCACCTGTAAACACAAGTGATCTTCAGGTCACATACTTACAGAAAATGACATCGCTGTGGCCTGTGTTTCCACACGGCTGATCTTAGTTGCAGGCAGGGCACATGTATCATCAACTAAAAACCAAACAATTCATCATATAAGACTTACATGATCACTTATCAAACAGACACATTAAAATATAATTTATAAACATAAAAAAATAGCCCCAGGGAGAAAAGCAAAATAATTAGAAATATGGACCCTCTAACTCAAATTCATTCACAATGTTCATTTCTCAAGGGTTTGATGGCCAGCTAGAACTTCAGAGAACGTTTACCAAAGATGAAACACAATTCTTATAGCAAAAGAATGAAACGAGAATTTATAAAATCAGAAATCTATCAAGCTGGAGGAATTGTTACCCCATAGTCTAAAGAATAAATCTTTTCTATGGAAAAAAAATTTGCTGAATATATTCACGGTAGGAAAAACACATTCTGAACGTATTTTGGTGTGTGCTGATTTAAATATTTTATGGAAGGCAGAAGAGTATGTTATATAATAATTTTAATTGGAATGTTTTATCTGTTTATATATAACTCAATCCAAGATGAAATGCAATTCCCATCTAAACAAGTAAGTTTGATGAATTTATATACACAAATGGTTCAAAATACAGTATGTGAAACACATTTCAAACCTTCAGATTTGGTACTGAATGTTGTTAGTGAAGTTTCATCTTTAACAACTGCCCCATTTGTACTGGATGATTCAGTTTTAATGGTCTGCTGGGTTACCATAGTTTGTGCGCTGGAAACAGAACTGGATACAGAAGTTTCAGGGATTACTGTTCTTAAGTCCAGGCAACTACTTAGAACACCTATATTTGCTGAAGTATGAGGACCTAAAATTAAAGCGAAAAAAGCAATTATTAACATAACGCCTGCAATAAATGTGCTATCTTATTATGGTTCTTGTCACACGTTCTTGGTATTTCAATTTTAAAAATCATAAACACAGGCACTGCAAATGTCATGCATATGTATTAACCATTAGGCTAAACATAAAATGTTTAGAAAAATAAGTGGACTACAGGGGCACCTGGGTGGCTCAGTCAGTTGAGCTCTAACTCTTGATTTCGGCTCAGGTCACGATCTCACAGTTTGTTGAGATCGAGCCCCATGTTGGGCTCTGCGCTGACAGCATGGAGCCTGCTTGGGATTCTCTTTTTCCCTCTCTCTTTGCCCCTCTCCTGCTCATGCACTCTCTCTCTCTCTCTCTTAAAATCAATAAATATTTTTTAAAAAATAAAGAAAAGAAAAATAAAAATGTACTACATAGATAACAGATGTCTAACTTCTCAGGTCCTTCTTCCATTCTAAACACTGAATCATTGTTCTTGGACTCTTCTAAATCATAGATCAAATGCCTTGCCTCCCACTTTAGGGGAAGAAACAGAAGTCATCAGGCATGAATGCCTTGAGTTTTCTGCCTTCTTCTGCCCTAAACTAGAAACACATTTATGATTGGGCCCATCCTTTCTATCTTCTCTTCCATTTCAGAGGACGAACTGACCTCTTTCCAGAGGAAGGATAATCAATCCTCCTGTGATCTTGGTTCTACCCCTTCCCCATATTTTGGGACCCTCTTTTATCAATCATTCCTTTCTCTTCAGGGTTTTCAGATTCTTTTTTCATTAGCAGTTTTTGGCACTCAGTCCTTAAACATTATCAAGTGTCTCAAGCAAACAAAACACCCATCTTCTTTGACCCCACAAATCTTCTCCAGTTGCCATTACCCCTCACTAATTCCTTCAGAGCAGTCTCTACTTCCCTGACCTCCTCAAATTTGGTTTCTACCCCTCTACTCTAATGAAATGGCTCTGGCAAACGTCAATGATTTCTAAGGGATGCTTTTCAATTTCCACTTACTTGACCTTTCTGCAACATAAACAATGCCGACCACATACTCCTTTTTTGAAGTTGTTTCTTTCTATGACTTATAATTACTCATTCCACAATATTTTTTATGCTTATTTATTTTGAAAGAGAGAGCGAGAGAGAAAGAGAGAACAAGCAGGGCAGGAGCAGAGAGAGAGAAACCCAAGTGGGCTCCACGCCATCAGCGCAGAGCCTGAGCAGGGTTCCATCCCACGAACTGTGAAATTATGACCTGAGCAAAATCAAGAGTTGGATGCTTAACCAACTGAGCCACCTAGGCACCCCTCACTCCACAATACTGAGGACTTACTATTTACCAGATATCGTGCATGCTTCTACAATGGTTAAATAAAGCAGGCATGGTTAATACTTCATGAAGTTATAATCGTGTGGTAGAGAAACATGCATACACAAACTGAGATGACCACTACTGAGAAAAAAAACAGGACACCAATCTACTTGGTTCTTTTCCTGGCCTTTTAAGAACCCCTTTCCAATCTCTGTAGCTGGCTTCATCTCTTCAGATGACTTTTTAAAAAAAAATTTTTTTTTCAACGTTTTTTATTTTATTTTTTGGGACAGAGAAAGACAGAGCATGAATGGGGGAGGGGCAGAGAGAGAGGGAGACACAGAATCGGAAACCGGCTCCAGGCTCTGAGCCATCAGCCCAGAGCCTGACACGGGGCTCGAACTCACGGACCGTGAGATCGTGACCTGGCTGAAGTCGGACGCTCAACCGACTGCGCCACCCAGGCGCCCCTTCAGATGACTTTTTAAATGCAGGTGTTCCCAAGCCTTCTCTTTTCTCCATTTACATATTTTCCTATGTTTTCACTACCATTCATAAATCATACATCTCTCAAATACATATATCCTGGACACTGCCAGGTGCTAAGAATCTCGCAGTGAACAAGTCAGATAAAGTCACTGCTCCTTGTGGGGCTTATATTTTAGTTACCTTTAATTTCTAAATTTATACTCCAGCCAAAAATTACCACCTAGACTCTACACCTAAATATCCAACTGCCAATTAAAAATCTTTACCAGTATGTTCCTCGAGTGTCTCAAAAACACTAAGTTCAAAGTTGAACTTACCTTTTTCCCAAATCTGTTCTGGCTCCTATATTTCATTTCTTGATAAAGAGTATCATCACTCATTGAATATACAACCAAAAAACTGGGAGTCATGGTAAACTCGTTTTTATTTCTCATATCCAATCAGTTTCCAAGGCTAGTAATAGATGTTAGTTTCTAAAACTCTCAGAAATGATATATTCTCTCCTCTCCATTCCACCCACTGCTTCAGTCTCTGGTTATCTCTTAGAGTCCTAAAAGAACCTTCTACGAAGCCTCCCAATCATTTCCTACTCCAGTTCTTCTGATGGTGAGGCCAGAGTGTTCTTTCCAAAACAACAATAACAACTAACCATGTCACTCTTCCACTTTTGAAACATACCAGCTACTCCAACCTACAAAGAAAAAGGTCCAATCTCCCCTTGTTAACCTGAGATTGGGTAGCCAATCATTCACAGATTTGAATGTCTATGATCTGTCAGTGATACTGTCGCTGTACAACCACTCTGGTTTTCCCATTTGTTTCGTACTAATTTTTTCTAAACTGTCTTACAACATACGATTTAGAGTACATTAAGATTCTGAAATCTCAAAGCTCCTATTTGTTTTCAAGAGCATAAACTTCTTTATAAGATAGACATAGAAAATCACTATAAGAAAGAAATATAAATTGAGGTCCAGGACCAGGCTTTTATAATTTTAACCAAATGATTCCACCTGAAAATCAATAAAACAAAAGTGCTCTCCTTTTGCACAGGTGATGAAATAAGGAAAAATTACAGGAAATTATTTTCACTGAATATTCTTACCTACCACAGACTCATTAAGAAAAATGGAAATAAAGGTGTGCCTGGGTGGCTCAGTTGATTAAGTGTCTGACTTTGGCTCCAGTCACGATCTGATGGTTCATGAGTTTGAGCCCCACATTGGGCTTTCTGCTGTCAGCATGGAGCTCGCTTCAGCTCCTCTGTACCCCACTCTCTCTCTGCCCCTTCCCTTCTTGCACTGTCTCCCAAAAATAAACATTTAAAAAAATGGAAATAAAAATAATATTCATCTTGTTAAGTTTGTATCACTGAAGAGGCATTAGATTTATATCAGCTGTCATGACTTTCTCAAATTAAAAATAAAGTCACATTTCCTTTCTTTCTCTCTCTCTCTCTCTCTCTCTCTCTCTCTCTCTCTCTCTCTTTCTTTTTTAATTTTAGAGAGAGAACACAAAAGTGAGGTAGGGGGGCAGAGGGAGAGAGAGAATCCCAAGCAGGCTCCACGCTCAGCCTGGAGCCCAACACAGGGCTTGATCCCACAACCCTGGGATCATGACCTTGGCCGAAATCAAGAGTTGGATGCTCAACCAACTGAGCCACCCAGGCGTTTCTAAAGTCACATGTTTCTATGTCAGGGACATCAGAATGAGATTTATAAAATAACTTTAGATACTGAAATCAGATACAATGTATCTGAAATGGCATCAGAATATTCAAATGAACTCATTTTAAATATAAGGATCACCAAAGTACAAGCTGTCGCATGAATGTAATCAACAGTTCTCATAAATGAACTATCTTTCTGAGGATAATCCAGTTATTTCCTAAACAAATATTTACTAAATGACTACTATTAACCAAGCATGGATCTGGGTGCTGAGGAAATAGAGATGAACAAGAAAACCCCTGCCCCAAATAGATAATTTCAGATAGTTCTAAGTGCTAAGAAAATACAGTAATGGGAACGTGACACTGAACATACTGGCCAACCTCAAATGTCATACAAGAGCTTGCCTCATTTGAGTTCCATACCTCATAACTAAGCTTTGCAATTCAGGTCAGTGCTTTCTTAGTATCCTGACATCACTCTAACTAGGGTCAATGTGGCTAGTTTATTATTATTTTGAAAATGGATCAAAACCATAGAACATTTACTTTTTCAGAGACTATAATTCCCTATCGTTATTATAAAAAGCTTTGGCTTTACTTAAAGTGCCATCTTTGAGACACCTGAGTGGATGAGTTGATTAAGCATCTGACTCTTAGTTTTGGCTCAGGTCATGATCTCATGGTCTGTGAGTTCGAGTCCTGTGTTGGGCTCTGCACTGATGGCGCGGCACCTGCTTGGGATTCTCTCTCTCTCTGCCCCTCCCCTGCTCGCACTCTCTCTCTCTCTCTCTCAAAATAAATAAACATTTTTTAAAAATGCCATCTTTATACCTTCATTTTTCCTTAACATATCCACAACACAACTATTATGATTAGAAGTATTAGTTGCCATAGATGGATGTAAAGCAGCATTAAAATCAGTTGATGCTTTGAGATCTGGTCTGTTTTTCACAGAAGTTCCTTTCATAGGTGTATGTTCAGTTTTTGCACTGTTCGTTGTATCGCTGATCTATAAGAAATAAAACAGTTTATTGTAGCAAGCAATGTTCAGTTAAATAGAAATACATGTGAAAAACAAGCAAAATAATTTACAACTTGAATGCTTCTGAAAATAAATTTACCAAGATATAAAACAGTTTAAATTATACACTTAATTTGTATAGGATTATTCTTTAAATTTTACAACAGTTTAAAAAACCCATTTCCTCCCTTAATCTCCATTCTCAGAAGACCAGTTATAAAGGGGAATAAGAGGGTATATTCTGAGGGGGGGGACCCCAGACTATGTTTTATGAGTGGTAGTTAGTATGCAAGTAAATATGTATGCAGCACAGGCGACAACACCAGAGCTACTGAGTTTAACACATTTGTCCAATTTTCTTAACAAAGTCAACATGGATTTTAAAGACCTGATGACTCCTAAAAATAAAATCTCAGTTCAAGCAAATGAATTATTCTATATGACTGAGTTTCCAAATAGATATCAAGATTTAATACATACACATATCAATATTCTTTGCCATTAAACATTTTTAAATAGCAGTCTCTTTAATTCTGTTTTTCTTTGCCTTCTTGTACACACTATAATGAACACATTTAAACTTTTTGATAATTCAGGTCATCAAGGTCAACATCAGTTACTATACAGCAATATATATGGGTCTAGTGAGCCATAAAAGTTACCTGGCTTCATTCAAAAACCCCAATATTGCTGCCCCCTTCTACTTACCTGTTTTTTGTGACTTTTCTGTCTCCATTGTCAATTATAACTTCTCATGGCTCTAGGATATTTGTCCACAGCAGCCATGTTCAGAACACGTGAGCTTATCCCTACATCACTTCCCTTGAAAAGAATCTACTGTATATGCAGACAGCAGCTTGCCATATAAAACCAGTGTAAATCCTAGTGAGCTTATTCATTAGTCTCTACAGATACCTACTGTGAAGCACTTCATAAACAAGAAATAACCTCACAAACATCAGTGTTCAACTTAGCAACTCATATTCTTTGGCCAATGAAGTACATAGTAAAGAAATATATTTCATATGCATTTTTGAAGTACATCTTTAGAAACTTAAAACAGGAGTGTGTATGATACTTAGAAATGTCAAAATACAGATTTCAAGACACCGTAAGTATAAATTATAATGGATTAGCCTCTGATGCTGTGTGCAATGAAGGTAGACTTTAGTCTCCTGGTTAGGGGTTCTCAATCCAGGCCAGTGCCACAGTGCTCTATGGAGCTTTTCCTTAAAACTTGAGTTACCTGGGCATCATCCTAAAGATTCTGATTCACTAAATCTCGGGAAAGGCTTGGGATTCTGTATATGTTTGTTTGTTTTTTAATCTCAGAGGTGATTCTAATATGCAGCCAGAGTTAAGAACCTCTGTCCTAGGGTAATATGCTACAAATATTAATAAAAATTGGGACTCTAACCATAAACATTCATTTACCATCATAAATTTTTGTTTTTAACTTACACTGTTAGGAACGGTGCTATTACTGCCTGGTCTGTGAGGGTCCGCTCTGACTCCTGTAGGAATGAGAAAGTTCAGACTGACATGCTCTAAATTAGCTTCAATAAAATATATTACAATCAAGTATTTCTGAAAGTTATGTATTAAAGCTTAAAAAGTAGTATCTTTATCAAAGTTAATCTATTTTCTTAATAGTCTGCTTACTGGTTGATTGAAATCCTTTCCAAAAGAACATGTAAAATGAAATCTGCTTTTACTTTCCAAGTGCCTATTACTTTGAATACTTGTTTAAAACGCTGAAATATTTATGAAAGCTAATTAAAACCATCTCCTGAAGTCAGGTAGCATGTCGAAACAAGGAAGTACATCAGAGTGAACTGCAGAAAAAACATTCTATCCTATGTGTCTATGCGTTCTACCTACCACATCATGATGGGAAGACAGGCAAGTTTCGGAACTGAAATGCAACATATTTGATTAACCAGGCAGAAAACATCACATCATAACATTTTTAACACTAGGCCTAATCACAGGCTTTCCTGTAGTCACTCTTTAATTTCTTTTTTTTTTTTTTAACGTTTATTATTTTTGGGACAGAGAGAGACAGAGCATGAACAGGGGAGGGGCAGAGAGAGAGGGAGACACAGAATCCGAAACAGGCTCCAGGCTCCGAGCCATCCGCCCAGAGCCTGACGCGGGGCTCGAACTCCCGGACCGCGAGATCGTGACCTGGCTGAAGTCGGACGCTTAACCAACTGCGCCACCCAGGCGCCCCTCTGTAGTCACTTTTTAAAAAAGCATCTGAACATGCAAGCTTCCAGGTGAAAATTATGTTACCTTGTAGATTTGGTGCCAGTGAGGAATCTGATGATGCAGTTTGGTGTGGCAAGTCTGTATTCAGCTGCAAAAGATAGCCCTCAACTGTAGGCACTTCATCCCATTTGACGTGGAAAGAGTTGGTAGTGGCTTTGATCAGCTGTACTTGTGATGGTGCCGGCGGTTTCTCTAAAGAACAATATTGATATTATACTTTTAAGTTTCAAATGTATCAAGAGTTTGCTTGTACAATTTGTGTGGGCCTGGGGCTCTGAAAACATCAGCAATGAGTATTTCACCTGTTTACCCACAGGGAGATGTATTCAGATAAACTTAGCTATAGTAGGTCAAATGAAAACAGTTTGGGGTTCTGGTCCTACTTATTTATTTAATTCCTTATACAAATAGAGAGAAAAATTCCAAGCCATGTGAGTCACCAGAATCAGAAAGAAATATTTAATCCTAGAAATGGGGGCAGGGCACCAAGTATTTTATAGTTAGAGCTACATTATTTTACCTATGTAAGTTTTTTTTTAATTTAACGAGCCAATTTTCAGCCAATAGCATACATGTTAGAAATACTGTTAGTGTTAGCAAATATGATTTGGACATGATATTTTGGGAAAACACAACTTCTTGAAGTTAATACCCTTTTATCAAAACTTGTACTACCCCAAACAGGTAACTACTTTGATGTAAAATATTACAACATTTCCAAAACAAGTAACAATCATAGGCTTTTAGAACTAGAAAGAAGGATCTGAGATTATTTCTACAATATCCTTGTCCTCTTTTTGTTTACCTACCAATTCAGGGAACTCACAATTCCTAAGGGAGTACATTCCATCTTTGGACAGTTACATAAGAAAATTTAGTCTCCTAGTGAGTTGATATCTATAAGCTATATTTTAATCATTATAGAACATGTCTGATATCTATCTTTTTGTATCTTTTAGAGAAGGGATCAGCAAACTGGCTGGCTTATGGGCTAGATCCAGTCTATGACTGTTTTTGTAACTAAAGTCTTGTTGAAACACAGCCATGCTCATTTGTTTATGTATTAGTTATGACTGTTTTCATTCTACAGCAGCAGAGTTGCATAGTTATAACAGAGACCATACGCGGCCTGCAAAGCCTAAAATATTTACTATCTGACCCTTTACAGAAAAAAACTGATGACTATGATTTGGAGGATAAGTAAGCCTAGTTCCTTCAACTATTCCCCATGTAGATTCCTCCATGATCCTATTCACAACCCAGTTTATTTATGTTTCTTAAAGACAACCCACATAAGGAAACAAAAAGAAGACAGGTTCAAGAAGTATACTACTTACACAACAAAAGCTTACATGAAGAGAAAATAGAGAAAACAGAAGGGTGCACATCAATGAAATAAATCAAGAAAATTCCCAGAACTAAAGAACATGAGTGTACAGACTAAAAGGGCCCAAGGAGTATTCAACACACTGGGTTAAAAATAGATGCACCAAAGCACATCACCATGAAATTTAAGAATAATGGACACAAAAGTCCCAAAAGCTATCAAAGGTGAGGGGGAAGGTCACATTTAAAGAAACAAAAATCAGGGGTGCCTGGGTGGCTTAGTTGGTTAAGCATTCGACTCTTGGTTTTGGCTCAGGTCATGATCTTGCAGTTAATGAGTTCGAGGCCTGCATCGGGCTCTGTACTGACAGTGCAGAGCCTACTTGGGATTCTCTCCTTCCCTCTCTCTCTCTGCCTCTGTTGCATACACTCTCGCTCTCAAAATAAATATGTAAATTTAAAAAAAAAGGAACAAAAATCAGAAGTGGTTTGGGTTTCTCAACAAAAACACTAGAAGCTTAAATACAATATAACAATGCTTTCAAAATTCTGAAGCGTAAGGACATCCAGTGTCGAATTCTATTTCCCTGCAAATAGCCAATTAAATGGAAGGAAGACTGAATATATTTCCAGACAATGCAAGATCTGAAAATAAATTTATCTCCTATGCACTCTTTTCCTGGGATGTGTTCCACAAAAAAAGAAAAAGTTAACTAAGAAAGGGAAAAATACAGGAACTAGAAACAGGGAATCTGGCACAGGTGAGAGGCAGAAGATATCTCCAGGAAGATGATGAAGGGAGACTCCAGGATGATAGCTGTGCACGATTTGTGGAGCAGGAGAACCATGCCAACCATCCCAGATTGGAGCAGGAGATGGTTCTTGTCTTTTCTTTTTTTAGTTTATTTATTTATTCTGAGAGAGAGTGAGAGAGAGAGAGAGAGAGAGCAAGCACGAGCAGGGGAGGGTCAGAGAGATCATGACATGAGCCGAAACCAAGAGTTGGATGCTTAACTGACTGAGCCACCCAGACCAGGAGCCCCAGGAGAAATTTCTTCAAGATGATGAAATATGATAGAATATACCTGATGCATCTAACCATAATGAGAGAAGATTTAAACAAATTAAAGAGTATGGACTGAATTGGTGGTAAATACATACAAATCAAAGACAAACAAAAATGACAATTATTAATCCATGGCATGGCTCACCTGTGAACAGTGTTTATATGGTCATAATGTAAACAATGACTACTCATCTAACAAAATTGCTGCATAACCATATTGAGAGAATGAGGGTAGGAAAGGTATAGAGCAGAGAAGCAAGGAATGGTGGGAAGAAGAGATAAATCCTTAACTGTTATAGTAGAAAGTGATCATTTTATGCCTAAACTGAAAAAAATCAAAGTAATATATTAATGTTATATGGAAATATGGAAGGAAATCCCAAAAGGATTGTTTAACAGAGTTGAAAGCAGATGCTTGTGAAGCAAGGAAAATGAGAGGAAGGTGGGAGCAAAGGACTATTTTTAATAAAAAGCCTTATGGCATTATTTACTCTTAAATGCTATCAAATTCACAAAGATTAACTATAAGTGAAAAAAAGCAAGATGAAGAGCCCTCATTTCCCCAGTTCCCAAAATTCATGCCAACTTATCAAGAGGAGAAGCAAAATCTAAATTCCAACTTTATGATAGTAGCCATGATTACTTTTAAATTGACATCATCTAAGGTTTATGGAAAAACTGGCCATTCAGAGCCAGTAATTTTTAATCTTTTAAAAGTCACAGATCGCTTAGACAATCTGCTTCAAGTGATGTATTCACTACCAAGAAAAATTTATACACACACATTTTTTCTTCCAATCTCAGGGATTGAAGTTTATCCTTGGACTTCAGGTAATAACTCCCAATTTCAAAGATGCAACAGTAAGTTGGATTTTCTATATTTCTTTCCCGCTTGCTAGTATGTGCTTCTTCCACACAAAGCATTTAGTCTCTAACTTTGTTGTTCAATTTTATTATTTTTCAATTATCTTTTTTTATTTTTTTAAATTTACATCCAAATTAGTTAGCACACAGTGCAACAATGATTTCAAGAGTAGATTCCTTAATGCCCCTTACCCATTTAGCCCATCCCCCCTCCCACAATCCCTCCAGTAACCCTCTGTTTGTTCTCCGTATTTAAGAGTCTCTTATGGGGGCGCCTGGGTGGCTCAGTCGGTTAAGCGTCCAACTTCGGCTCAGGTCATGATCTCACGGTCTGTGAGTTCAAGCCCCGCGTCGGGCTCTGTGCTGACAGCTCAGAGCTCAGAGCCTGGAGCCTGCTTCAGATTCTGTGTCTCCCTCTCTCTCTGACCCTCCCCCGTTCATGCTCTGTCTCTCTCTGTCTCAAAAACAAACATTAAAAAAAAAAAAATTTTTTTTTTAAATAAAAGATTAAAAAAAAAAAAAAAAGAGTCTCCTATGTTTTGTCCCCCTCTTGGTTTTTATATTATTTTTGCTTCCCTTCCCCTATATTCATCTGTTTTGTCTCTTAAAGTCCTCATATGAGTGAAGTCATATGATATTTGTCTTTCTCTGACTAATTTCACTTAGCATAAATCAATTATCTTTTTTTAAAGTTTATTTATTTATTGAGAGAGAGAGAAAGAGAGAGAGAGACAGAGGGGCAAAGAGAGAGAGAATCCCAAGTAGGCTCCGCACCAGCAGCATGGAGTCCAATACGGGACTCGAACTCATGAACAGTAAGATCTATGACCTGAGCTGAAACCAAGAGTTGGATGCTTAACCAACTAAGCCACCCAAGTGCCCCATCAATTATCTTAATTTTTTTTTAATTTTTTAAAAATGTTTATTTTTGAGAGAAAGAAAGACAGAGCACAAGTCAGGGAGGGGCAGAGAGAGACGGAGACACCGAATCTGAAGCAGGCTCCAGGCTCTGAGCTGTCCGCACAGCCTGATGCGGGGTTCAAACTCACAAACCACGAGATCATGACCTGAGCTGAAGTAGGATGCTCAACCAACTGAGCCACCCAGGCGCCCCAATGTTTATTTATTTTTGAGAGAGAAAGAGAGACAGAAACAGAGTGTGAGTGAGGGGAGGGGCAGAGAGAGAGAGTGAAACACAGACTCTGAACAGGCTCCAGTCTCTGAGCTGTCAGTACCGAGCCTGATGCAGGGCTCGAACTCATAAGCTGTGAGATGATGACCTGAGCCGAAGTCAGATGATTAACCGACTGAGCCACCCAGGTGTCCCTCATCTTTTAGATAACACTTTGGCATACTACTGTATCCTTCCAGAATTTTCTATTTATACACTTAAAAAAAAAACCTGGAATTATAGATATGTTTTATAATCTGCTTTTCTCATATAACAGTGCACATTACATCATCTCCAAATCTGATTCTCCGCTGGCCTCCAGACTTCTTTGTTCCTCAACGACTTATTTGATCTCCTTATTTCAAAGTTAGCATGGTCTAAATGGAACTCTTAATTTTCTCCCCAAGCCAGTTTTCTCCTCAGTCTTCTCCAGCTCAGTAAGTGGAAATACCACCAAATTATTCAAGCTAAAAACTTCATCCTCCTGTCCTTTCTGTCATATGCCACCCCCAATTCATCAGCCAGTTCTGTCAACAAGAACTCCAAAACATATCCTGAATTCAGCCACTTCTTTGCATCTCCACTGGCACCACTGTAGTCTAAGACTTCTCTGACTGCTGTGAAAGCCTCCTAACTTGTCTCACTGTGTGCACCTTTGCTCACCTCCAATTTATTTTCCACACAACTGCAGTGGCCATTCCAAAATGTACATCAGATCACGACACGTCTCTCCTTCAAACTAATAAATAACTTACCTTTGTACTTTATAAACAATCTAAACTCTACCATGATGTTTGAGGCCCTACAAGATCTGTCCTGTGGTCACTTTTCTAACCTCCATCCCTACACTCTCCTCCTTCACTGGGCCCAAACGAGCCACGCATTCCCATTTCAGGGCCCTTGTACTTGCTGTTCACTCTTCCTACAGTGTTGCTCCCCCAGCCTTTTCCACGGATAGCATCTTCTCCCCATCTGGATTATATTCCAAATGCCATTTCATACTTTTCTAACTACCCACTCCAAAGTTAACCCCGCCCCTCTTTACTCCAGTGCCTCCCATTACTATCCCATTGGTCTTACTGTCTTCACATGCTTACCAGAAATGGAACTGATTTTGTTAATTTGTTTGATTAGTGCCCATAATCCCCTGCCCTCATGCTCTCTAAGAATATAAGTTCTTTGACATCAGGGACATTATCAGTCTCTTTCACTGCTGTTGCATTTCACTTCTCAGCATTTAGAACAATTTAGAACAATTCCTGGTATACAGTATCAATCAATAAGTATTTATTAAAAAATAGATGAGTTCCATATTTAATAAATTTGTAGTGTTGTAATACTTTTTAAAAAATGGTTTTACTTTGGAATACTTTTAGATTTACAAAAAAAAAAAATGCAGAGTGCCCATATATTCTTTATCTTTACTCAGTTTCCCCTAATGCTAACACATTTGTCAAAATTAAGAAATTAACACTGGAATAATAATGTTAACTAAACTACAGACCACTCAGATTCCACCTATTTTCTATTTACATTTTTGTTTGTTTTAATCCAATCTAGGGTGTACCACCTTGCATTTAGTCATCATATCTCCTTAGTCTCCTCCAATTTGTAACTATTTCTCGCTTTCCTCGTTTTTCATCACTTTGAAACTTTTTTTAAAGTGCATATCCATTCATTTTGAGAGAGAGAGAGAGCAGAGGAGGGGCAGAGAGAGAGAGGGAGACAGAGAATGCGAAGTAGGCTCCACACTGCCAGCACAGAGTCCTATGCAGGGCTTGATCTCATGAACCATGAGATCAGGACCTGAGATGAAATCAAGAGTCCAACTCATTGCTTTCAAAGCCCCCCTCATCACTTTGAAACTTTTATTTAAGAGTATTGTTCACATATTCTGTAGAATGTCTAGAATGTCCCTCAATTTGCGCTTATCTGATATGTTCTCTCAGAGTGGGGTTATAGGTTTTGGGGTAATACAAAGGTGAAGTTTCTTCTTATCACATGATATGAGAAGCAGGGATAAATGATATTAACATGACTATCACTAGTGATATTAACACTGATTACTTGATTAAGGTGGTGTTTTCCAGGTTTCTCTACCATACAGCCACTGTTTTTCTCTTTTCATATTCTATGCTTTGGAAAGGAGTCACCATATCCCAGTCTACACACTCAAAGAGAGGGGCTCTCGTGGGCACCTGGGTGGCTCAGTTGGTTGAACATCCAACTTCGGCTCAGGTCATGATGTCGTGGTTCGTGGGTTTGAGCCCCACACTGGCCTCTGCACTGTCAGCGCAGAGCCTGCTTGGGATTCTCTCTCTCTCTCAAAATAAATAAATAAACTTAAAAAAAACCTCTCATGGAGTGAGAAATATCTACTCCAATGTAATATTTCTTCCATTCATTTTTAATTATGGAAAAGAGAGGCAGTGGCATTTACAGTAAGTCTTAAGAGACAGACAGTGCTCAGGTATTTATTTACCTAAAAGAAAATTCTATTCGTTAAATACTCTTACCTACCAGTATCAAGATACCAAAGATCCTTGCAGCAAACTTGACTATTCAGTGCTTTTTTGTAGCCATCTCTCCCACTCCAAAAATACAATCGAGTGCCAATTGCAACAGCACAGTGTCCAGCTCGTGGTCTTGGTCTTGAATTTTTTTTATCTTCCTGAGAATCTGATACGAGGGTGGTCCACTCTGCTGTATCTACAAGACAGCAATATCCATGACTACAGTATTGCTCTTAAATAACAAAATAACAAGAACTCTTTTATTAATAAATTTTATTTCAATAAGTAGCTCTTAAAAGACTTACCCAGATTTAGATAAGAAAATGAACTAGTACATCTCCATTCACAATCATGAGGTGAGGTCTCAATATTCTCCCCCTTATGTGGAACCCATCCACCAAAAATGTACATCCTGAACAACAAAAAGAGAGAACATAAAGTGGCTGACTTTTTTTTCTAGAGCTTTACTTTTTTTTTCTTTTTAGATTTTCAATGCTAAGAATAGACTTAAACTTACTTGTTTACTCAAAGCTTCAGGACTATTAACTCACTTATTATGGTCAAGGTAATGGGAATAAGATAATGAATAAAGCAATCTTCTCTGAAGAGTTTACAATTCTATGAAGCAATACAGAATCAAATTATTTGTCTCTGGCAAGTTACTTAAGTGGAAAATATTTCAATTCTAATACATTTGAAAATCAATACTATTTACAATGAGTGAACCTCACTCAGAAAGATAGGCAAATGATCTATGATATCCAAAGTCAAATTTAGAGTTGTATGCATACAGTAACCAAAGAAGATTAAGTTTCTTATAACTTTGGTCACTGATATCACTCAAATAAAAAACTTTTGGGGCACCTGGTGGTTCTGTCAGTTAAGCGTCTGACTCTTGATTTCGGCTCAGGTCACAATCTCGTGGTTTGTGAGATCGAGCTCCCCGCAGGAGCCTGCTTGGGATTCTCTCTCCCTCTCTTTCTCTCTCAAAATAAATAAATAAACATTAAAACAAAACAAAACACAAAAAACCTTTAACTATGTCCCTCGGGCCCCTAAAGGTTCTTGAGACATGCCTAATGACTGCTTGAAGGAGAAAGGCTCATCAGGCAGAGCTTCGGGCCGATGTGACGGCATGCCAAGTGGAGAAGCTCTATTTTATACCTATTTTCTATATTAGAGTTCCAGTGGAAAACCACATTTTATAAAAGGGTTCTGAGATTTTTTTAAATGTACCTATCAGATTTTGTTTATGGCTATTTTTTAAAAAGAACTAATGAGGTTGTAGCTGTTTCCTAAAACATTACTTTTAAGGTAAAGCCCCTACACAAGAAAATACTTAATTAAATTCTATTTACACAATAATGCACAAGTAAGGGAAATTGCTGATGATAGTAATAGCTAACCTTTATGGCGTACTCCTTATGTAGCAGGCACTGTTTGGAGCATTTCATATGTATTAATCCATTTAATCCTGAAGGCAACCTCGTGAAGTAGGTTTTATTATTGACTGTATTTTATATGTAAGGAAAGTGAGGTATACACAGATTAAATTTCCTTGCCCCAGGTCATACAGAACAAGTACCAAAACTGGAGACGTGAATTCAGGCATCTGGTTACAGAGTTTACGGTCTAACCATAACTCTATCCAAAGTTTAACCAGTGAGTGTACATTCTGAGTACATACCTGAGTATAAGTACTACCAAAAATAAGTAAAACGAAACACTGAGTTAGGCGTGTCAAACCTGGCAACAGAGAACAGATTTGTTCCTCAGATGCCTGTGCCTCAAACTTAAGTAAATGTACTCTGTGCAAGGAAAGCACTGTGACGAATGCACACAAGTATAAGAGACAGCATGACAAGAAAATGCCGAAGTATTTTAGCCTCTGTAGGCTTATTATTTTTGCTTCAGGAAACAATCAAACACTATTAAATTCAATAATCTATTCCTAAGAACTTGGTAGCACCACTCTTCCCTGTGTGTGTCTTTCTTAAGTTGGTTAAAAAAAAGTGAAAAACAAAAAAACCAGAAACCACCACCATACTTGTTTCCTATAACACTGGCTGTGTGAAGGCTTCGTGGAAGTGGCACCGTCCCTTTAGTTTCTGGTTTTGACCACGACATCGTTTCTAGAAGTAAAAATTAAGTATATTAGCAATTTGGTCTAATAATAGCAAATTACCTCAACTTGCAGAATCTTAAAAAAAAAAAAAAAGGACTTACCAAAAAGAAGCAAAACTGTTTCAAAACCATTACTTGAATTTCATCTTAAAATGAGCATTTACAGCCAACATAAATAGCTAATTATAGTAATCTATTTATACTTGAACGTTAGTGTTTGAAATACAGAGGTGTATTTAGGGTGCCACCAATTTTGAATTAAAACCAAATTAGAGATTTTCACATTTTAAGTAAGAGCACATTGTGTAGAAGATAGTCAAAAGCGAGAGGCACACCTACCTCCCAATCACTTCATTCCTAGGATCCTTTTAAAAAGAGCTAGCTAGCCCAGGATTTTTCACTGACCAGTAATAACATTACTAATGCTACATTTTCTGTAGACAGAGTAACCATATAAATTTGATCATCCCCAACTGGGACATTTTACAGAGTGGTAATTGGTACTACTGATAGTTACATGGGACAATAAGCATTAATCAGTCACCTTGGACAAACCAGGACATATGGCGACCCTACTTATAAGGAACACAGGAGAGTTACGGCCATAAACCAAACATTCATTTGTTTAACTTTATTGATCAGCAACCACTCACGTCACATCTCACCTGTTCCAGAGCTGGCTACACGTGCTTTCTATAAACCTAAGTGTGACTCGATAAATACTTTAACGAAAATATTTTTCAAAGGATTTTTACATTTTCCTTTATCAATCAAAACCAATTCCTGAGTCTGAATCAAGGTAAGCTTACCTAAGTCAAGTTGCCATAGATCATCCAGGCGAGCACCACACATTCCACCAAAGACATACATTTTAGGACTTCCAGAATCTTTTTTGCAATATATCACAGCTGTGTGGGATTCTCTTGGAGAAGGCACAATCCCTTTAGTCACTGGAATGCTCCAACCCACAACACCAGAACCGTGCTGTAGCTCCAACTCATAGAAATCATTTAAATATCTAGGATATCATGAAATAATATTAAAACATTAACAGAACATATATCTTCTATTTGATTTTTGTTTCTATTTATAAAGATAAGATATGCTTACTATGAAACATTCATTTAGTACAGAAAGGCATTAGGAGAGCAAAAACCCCTTCCTCATTTATTCACCACGTATTTATCAAAAACTACCATGCACCAGGTACTTTTGCGGGGATCAGCAGCAAACAGAAGAGATTAAAAAAATTCCTGCCATCATTTAACCAACACTCACATCCAAGACAACAACTGTGATGGTTTGAAAACACAGCCACAAATTCTCTGACACTTCCATTCAGGAGGTAGTTATGTCTGTCCTCACCCTCAATTCCAGGCAAGCTTGTGACTGCTTCAACTAGAGTGTGGTGATATGACACTATGTGACTTCTGAGGCTTGGTCACAGCCAAGCCTTGGTTCTGAGGCTGTGACCAAGCCTCAGAAGTCACTATAAAATACTTGTTCTTGGAATCCTGAAGCATCAGGTAAGTCCAACTAACACAAATCTGAAGCAGCATACATAGGCATGCAGCATGACGGCCCCAGTTCAGTCCATCCTTCAACCATTTCCATTGAGGCATCAGATGTGGGAGTGACCATTCAAGCCTTCCCATCTCAGGGTCTAGCCATCACTGCTGTGTCCTATCTTAATTCCTGATGCACAGAATCCCTGAGCATAATGTTATTTTGCATCACAAACTCTTTGGGGGTTTATTACATGGTACTAGATAACCAAGACAATCACTGTTGACAATAATTGGTAAATACCCCCTTTTGTTTTTTTAATTTTAGAGAAAGAGAAAGCGTGAGTGGGGGAGTGGGGCAGAGGGAGAGACAGAGAATCTTAAGCAGGCTCCACGCTCAGCACAGAGCCCGGGGAGCTCAATCCCATGACCCTGGGATCATGACTTGAGCCAAAATCAACAGCTGGATGCTCGACCAACTGAGCCACACAGGTGCACCAGTAAATACCCTTTCTGACCCCCCTTTCTGTATGGATCTCCACATATGCATAAATGAGACATACTACAAATGTTGCTTTGTAACTTTTTTCTTTTAAAATTTTCACTCTATAATGTCATAGCAATGCCCTGCATAGCTTTTTTCTTTTTTAACTCTAGAAACTGGCATAAAACTTCTCATGCGTGACATTGATGTTTTCAATGTTTTGAGCAAAATGACTTTTATAGGAATATATTTCCTATCAAATTATTACTCAAATATGAGGGCAAAATCAAAACACTTTAGGAGATATAAAACTTCAAAGTGTAGCTATATAATTGTTTTGGGGAAAAAAAAATGACACTAGATGCCATTTCAGAAAAATGAAAGAAATGAAAGAAATCCAAGAAAGAATACGCTGAATAAGAGAAATGGTGGTACAAAGAAATCAGTGATTTATAATCACATTTAAATTTATGTTTATAAGTGTGGATGTGAGGTCTAAGCAAACAGTAAGACTAACCAAATAATTAATTTCTTAACAGTATTATAATTTGGAATAAGATTCAAAAATACATGGAACATATGGGAAAATAAGGGTAAGTAAAAGAAGGTAAAGACAGTAATCTACTCTCAAAGATGACAAGATCTTCTCGGTTTAAATGTGTGTAATAATTTCTGAACAACTAACAGAAGCACAGAATTAGCACATATAACTTTCAAATCATTAAGAGGAAAGAAGAAAACAGTACATCGAGAAAAAGTAAGGAAAAGGAAAAATAAGCAAAGCAGTGTCAGTCTATGGAAAACAGTTAATAAGATGGTTAGGGAAAAAAAACCACTACAATACAAAACCATGTCAAAAGAAAGACAAACTATAAAAAGAAATCTGGTACACATCACCAAAAAAGATAAAATTTTCCTAATGTAAAAAGCTCCTACAAGATCAATATTATAACTAATCACACAATAGACACAAACAAAAGGATATAAACTGACAGTTCACAGAATGAGAAATAAAAACTGTATAAATGTATATGTATACACACACAGAAACACATATACAAACACATACACAAATGTTCAACCTCATTACAATTTTTAAAAATCTTGCAAAGGCAGGAAAAGGCAGGGAGCTGGAGGTAGAGAAGCAACAATAAGCAGAATAGATGGAAAACATAAAATAACAAAAGTAGGAAAAGACTTCCCTATTAAGAGACAAAGTCTCTTGGGGGCAGGAAGCGTGTAGGGGAAACAAAGTAAAAGAACCCTAAATCCAGTTATAAGCAAGTAACAGCAATGATAATATTAAAACTAACAAGTGATGTGGCATAGACTTACACAGATCTGAATGGGTACCAGCCAGTATGCTATACCAGCTCATACTGGTTGTTAATCCTATTTAAAAAAGGTAAGTCTACAACAAAATAATACACACAGGCTGAAAATTAGATATACAAAGAACAAACCACAAACGCACAATCACACTGGGAGATTTTAACATGTCATTCAGAAGTTGATCTCACCTAGACTCACAAAACAAAAAAGCTTAGAGTAATAATTTAAAACATTGATTTAATAAAGAACCTAGTCCCCAGGGCCCCTGGGTGGCTCAGTCGGTTGGGCGTCCGACTTCGGCTCAGGTCATGATCTCACGGCTCCTGAGTTTGAGCCCCGCGTAGGGCCCTGTGCTGACAGCTCAGAGCCTGGAGCCTGCTTCAGATTCTGTGTCTCCCTCTCTCTCTGCCCCTAACCCACTCTCATTCTGTCTCTGTCTCTCTCAAAAAAGAGACGTTTAACAAACATTAAAAAAAAATTTTTTTTAAAAGAACCTAATGCCCAGTCAAGAACTTACAATCTTTATGAGTACCTACGGAACAATCACATATACCACATATACCACAAAGACCATCTCCAAGAAGGAAAAACCCCATACACCACATATTTTTATCATAATATAATAAAACTAGGTATTAGCAACAATAACAAAAGTTTCCATTTGGAAACTAAACTTTTGTGTCAAATTACTTTTTGGTTAAAGAGAAAATAGGGGCGCCTGGTTAAGCGTCCAAGTCTTGATTTCAGCTAAGGTTATGATCTCACAGTTCATGAGCACAAGCCCCACACTGGGCTCTCTACTGAGTGTGAAGCCTGCTTGGGATTCTCTCCCTCTCTCTGCCCCCCTCTCTCTCAAAAATAAATAAATATTTTTTAAAATGTAAAAAAAAAACATTAAAATTAATGACAATAAGAGCACTATATATCAAAACCTATGGAATATGGCCAAAGCCATAACCAGAGAAAAATATGTAGCATTTATTTGAAAATAAATGAATAATCATTCAAATTACTAGAAGTTAGAAAAAAATTAGAAAAGGCATCCAAACTATTAAAAGTTTAAAAGAAGTTAGAAAAAAGGAAAAATGTAAAGAAATGGAATACGGTTAAAGAAAATAAATGAAAAAGAAAAATAATAAAACTAAAAAGTGGTTCTTTGAAAACAAGTAATATAACAAACCACTAGCGAGTCTGGTTAAGAAAAGAAAACACATGCATTTAAAAATGAGAAAAGAGCAGATATAGAGATTTCAAAGAGATACAGAGAATTGTCTTACAGTTTTTATCAATAAATATAAAAATCTAAATGAAATGGGTGATTTTTCAGGGAAAACATAAATTACCAAGTGACTCAAGAGAAAGTAGAAAATCTAAATAGATCAATAACTATAAGAGATATTTGAAAAAGAAGTCAACGATCATCTTCCTAAACTGTACCAATCTCAATTATGGGAAATTTCTACTAAATATTCAAGAAATTATGTTAGTTAAGCATAATAAAAAATGGAGAGCTTCCCATAACCTCAAAACACAGCCCTGGTTATGTTCCCAGGAATAACAGAACCCTGATACTCAAATCAGATTAGAACAGGATCTCACTACCCCAAATAAAAACACTATAGGAAAAATCACTAGTGAATACAGATAATATAAATGAATGTTAGCAAAGTGAATTCAGCAAAGTATGAAAAGAACACTGTAATGCAACAAACTGGGGGTTAACTACAAATAAAAAGATGACTCATTTCAGAACCTAACAATATAATTAACAAAATTAATGGATTAAAGGAAAAATCAGTAAGTTCATTTCCATGTCTGAAATGAATACAAACATCCATTTTTGGTTAAAAGGAGAGAAAAGAAACCAATTAGCAAACTAGAAATTAAAAAAAAATTTTTCTTTAACCTCACCAAAGGCAAATACTAGAAACCTACAGCAAAGATGACAAGTAATGATAAAGGGTAAATATACTAATGAAACAGAATACAGTCTTGAATAAGAGTTGGCAAACCCTTTCTGTAAAAAGTCAGACAGTAAATATTTTAGGTTATGGAGGCCTTCAGGTCTGTCACAACTACTCAACTTTGCTCTTTTAATATGAAAGCAGCCAAAGACAATATGCAAATGAATCGGCATGGCTGTGTTCCAATAAAACTTTATTAACAAAGAAAGATAGCAGGCCAAATTTGGCCCATACAGTGTAGTTTGTAACCCCTAGTCTAGAGAATTTAGAAAAAGACCCATTTAAATGAGGATTAAGATATGACAGAGATAGGACTTCAAATCAGTGAGGAAAAAAATGGCTTATTTAGTAAATGGTGGTGGGAGAATTAGAAATCCATTAGGAAGGAAAAGTAAAAATCTTCATACTAGTCATAAAAATATATTCTAAATCTATAAATATTTGAAACATAAAGAATAAATCTGTGAATATATCAGAAAAATACAGAATGTACTAGAAATTATAGAAAATATAGAAAAATAATTTTGGCATAGGAGAAACTCCTAAGCAAGAAAAAAAAAATCCCAGAAAGCAATAAAAAAATATTGTCAAACCTGATAAGATAAAAATGAAACTCTTTAAAAAAAAAAAAAGGTAGACAAAAGACATGGAAAAATATTTGGAATGTAAGAACAAAATATATAAAGAGCTCCAAAGAATCCATAACAATAATAATAATAATAATAATAATAATAATAAAACTGAAATCCACAGAGGTATAATTAGAAATGACAAATAAGGGGAGCCTGAGTGGCTGAGTCAGGTAAGTGTCTGACTCTTGATTTAAGCTCAGGCCATGATCTCACAGTGGTGAAATTGAGCCCTGCATTGGGTTCCATGTTGCTGGGTGTGGAGCCTGCTTAAGATTCTATCTTTTCCTCTCTCTGCCCCTCCCCTGCTTACATGCTCTCTCTCTCAAAAGTATATAAATAAATAAACAAAATACATACATACATACATACATACATAGAAATAACAAATGAATTTGGCAAGGTCACAGAATTCAAACTCAATATACAGAGAGCAACTGTGTTTCTATATATTAGCAATAAACCAATTATATTTCTATATGCTAGCAATAAACAATCCAAAAATAAAATTAAGAAACCAAATCTATTCATGTCATTGAAAAGAATAAAAAAATTAGTAATAAATTTAATAAGATCAGAGCAAGACACACACATTTAAAACCTCAAAATATTGCTGGGAGAAATTAAAGAAGATCTAAATAAATGGAGAGACATTCCAGGTTCCTGGGTTGGAAGACTCAATATTAAGAAGATAGTAATTCTCCATAATTTTATCTATATTTTTCACACAGTACCTACCAAATTCCAGCAGACCTTGTTGCAGAAATTGGCAAGCTGATGCTAAATTTAAATAGAAATGCAAAGGACCCAGAATAGCCAAAACTCTCTTGAAAAAGCGTAATAAAATCTGAGAGCTTATATCTTCCAATTTCAAAACTTACTACAAAGCTATAGTAATCAAAACAGTGTGGTACCAGCATTAGGCTAGACATATAGATCAAGAGAACAGAATGGAGAGTCCATAAATAAATCCTTACAGTTATGGTTCATTGATTTTCAACAAAAATGTCAAGCACAGAACACACAGTTCTGGATCACTGACTAACAGAATGTGAACAGAAATGAATCTGCTTTAACCAGAGGCTTTAAAAAGCATTGCGTCTATTTGCTCCCTCAAGCTGCATAAACTTGAGAGGCATGCCCATTATATATAATATATACAATATAACCTAAAAAAAAAAAAAGCTGACTAATAAATGTTAAAAGGAAAAGATTCTAAAAGATGCACATCAACTTGAATTATGTTTGCCTCTGTTGGAGGACAGTGTTGTTGAGAGAAAGAACTTTATATATTTTCTAATTTCTTGAATTTTTACAAGTGTATAACTAAAAACATCTATTTAACTTAAAAATGAAAAAGACATGTGCTAGAAGTAGAAGTATCTGGATTAGTATGGTAGGATAAGTTTTTCTTCCTTTCTCCAGTTTCCAAGTTTTCTGTGATGTTTTAGTACGTGTTATTTTTTAAAGTTTGAAAAACCAAAAAAGCTAAGCCTCTAACATCAATGTAATGTAGATACTATGCTGATGACAACCTGAAAGTGTCGACAATCTTATTGAAAGATTGATGCCAACAATCTTATTTAGCCATTATAATGACACTGAAATGTTAAGTATTTAATCAGTCCCATTTCACAGTCAAGGAAAACAGGGTTAGATTACTTCCACTAAAGGACACACATGGTAAGCAGTGAATCAGAAAACAGTCTTTTGGACTCTAAATCTCCAAATCCTGAGTGCTATGACAATGTGATCAAAACACTGTGATCAAAAAAGAAAAGAGGTAGTGATAGTTCTGTTTGGAGAAAAGAGGAGAGGATGGTTCACAAAGTATTTGCTTGTATGAACCACCTTAATGGCTTCCTGTATGAAAAATGGATATGATGGCCTTCATCTTGTAGTGAAATTTTTTGTCACCAAATTCCTAGAGACATCTAATTTGAAAATAACCATTTGTTACTTTTTATTATCATTTATGACAACTAAAATACATCATGACTCAAAACATACAAATATGTTGCTATAAGCAGTTATATTAGTATCATTTAATAAGATGATTTCTGATTAGAAAAGGCATAGTTTTGAAAACAGATACATACTCCAGGGACTACGGAAAATATAAGTGCACGCAAATTTGTTCACTGTTAGGTTCAAATGCAAAAGGCTAAGCTTCATCCCTTTTAAGTAATTAAAAATGAAAGAAACTAAATGTTCTTAAAAGTCATAAAACAAACATTTGGTCTGAAAAAGAATCAGCATACCTGGGAACATTATTGTTTGAGTCTTCACTTTCATTTGCCAGACCACCAAACAAATAGCATTTGTTACCATATAAAGAGAAGCTATGTCCAAGCCGGGGACAAGGAGGTAAACCAGAAGAAGGGGGGTGGGGTTTCACTTTTTTCCATAACCAACGACTTGCCTAAAAAAGAGCATAAATACAATCAGGCAAAATCAGGAAAACATTCCTATATTGTCAATAGTATAACATCATACCAATACATTTTAATCGAAATCCAATTAGAAGGCTCCAATAAGCTATCCTGGGGACAAATGACAAGTAAGCAGATAACTTCTGGAACTAAAATAAACACTGCAATAGAAATTCAGTCTACTCTTCCATATTCACAGCTTTTCTCAACAGCAACCTAATAGTAAACATGATTAATAACTCAAATGCTAACAGTTTCAAAATATTTTCCAAATGAAAAATCAAATATATATAGCTTTAAGAGTAAACATAATTTGGGGCGCCTGGGTGGCTCAGTCGGTTAGGCGTCCGACTTCGGCTCAGGTCACGATCTCACGGTCCGTGAGTTCGAGCCCCGCGTCGGGCTCTGGGCTGATGGCTCAGAACCTGGAGCCTGCTTCCGATTCTGTGTCTCCCTCTCTCTCTGCCCCTCCCCCGTTCATGCTCTGTCTCTCTCTGTCCCAAACATAAATAAACGTTAAAAAAAATTAAAAAAAAAAAAAAGATTAAACGTAATTTATACATTCTTACTTTCTGAAATTAGTATATATTTCAACCTTTAAGTATGCATAAAGGTCATTTAACAAACCAAACTCCAAAACTTATACTCTGGCCATGGATGCTCTATTTATCTAAAATGATTTGCTCATAAATAGGTATAATTCACCCACATCTGTCAATTACCAGATACCCTCATGATAATAGCCCTGTGAACACAGGCACAGTTTGGGAATAAAAATCAATTAAGGGCTGTCAGAGAGGGCTCTGAGTGCGGTTTAGGAAAATCAAACATAAAAGGACATAAGAAACTGTCTTGTGTGTGTGTGTGTGTGTGTGTGTGTGTGTGTGTGCGCGCGCGCGTCTGTGAGCATGTGCACATATACTGCCAGGGGGGAAAAGTGATTATTAGTGTAATGGTAACAATTTCTATAACTGAGCAGAGTTTTTGAAAATATGGTCTGGGGACCAGCAGCAGCACAGGGGAACTTGGTAAGAATTCAAGGGGGGAGGCCTCACATCAGACAATACTGATTCAGAAACTCTGGGAGCAGGGCCCAGCAATCTGTGTTTTCACAAGCCCTCCAGATGCTTCTGTTGCTGCTAAAATTGAAGAACTATGACACTAAGATACAAAAACCCAAACATGTAACATGTACAATTGATGCTAAGTAACATATCTTTATGTTACAAATGTTACACTGAGTATTGAAAAAAAGACTCACTTTAGAAACTCTGACTTTTTAGTGAAGTGGAAACATTTTCTTTGAAGCTCTAAAATGTGAAGTTCACACTATCTCAAATACATTAATGAAATATTTTGCAATCTTTCAAAGAATGAAGAGCAAGATCATTATTAAAGCTGCAGATTGAGATAAATTTTAAATACACTTACTTGCAACTCATACAACTCATTGCTGTATCTTCCATATTCAACCATTCCCCCGAACACTAATATTCTGGTACCATCACAGACAAATCCGTGGGCAGCGCAACCTGGAGGGATGTCTCCTCTAACCGCTGGTAGGAACCATTGATTTGTAACTAGTTGCCAAAATAAAATTAAGACCAATCATGATACACTGTTGTCACAAACTATGAGTGTGTACTTTATATGTATCTTCTAGATCAGTGGCTCTTAACTGGGGATGACTCTGCCCCCGGGAGAACAACATAACTTTGCGGTTGCCTTACTGGAGAGGGAGAGGAGAGATGCTTACTGGCCACTAGTGGGTAGAGCCCAGAGACGCTGCCAAACATCTTACAAGGTCCGTGCAAGCTCTTCCAACAAGTAATTCCTCTGGTTCAAAACGGCCACATGCTGCTGTTGGAGAAACCCTGATCGATGTCTTTAATTCTTCCCCAAACCTTGCTTGGTATCATCATCTCCATTCTACCAGTGAAAATCGGCTATTTAAGTTTGGTGACTTTAGCGCTGATCCTGGGGACCCGGCGGAGCAAAATTCAAACCAGGTCTCACCTTCCAAAGCCAGGATTTCTACACTACACCAAACTGTCAAATAACTTTTTAGCTAAATAGTGGGGTGCGGGGGCGGGGGGAGGGTGAAAAAATAAAATAAAATGTCCCCTATCCCCTACGCCACTACTGTATTCAGCACTATGACCAAGTTATTTGGTCCGAGTCGTTGATCGTGACATAGACCCCCAATTCAGCAATCAGCCTCACACCGAGGAAACAGCTCCTGCGCGACAGCGGGCGCGTTTCCACGGCGGGGAAAACGGAACGCCGCCCTCCTGTCTATCCCCGGGGCCCTCGGCCAAGGGGCACTGGTGAGTCGCAGCGGCGCTCCAGCTGACAGTCGTCTTCCGGAGCGCTGCACAGCTGAACTTGAGCAAGCACGCCCCACTGTGGGAGCCGGGCGCCCGGCTCAGCCACCGGCCGCTCCCCCGCCAGCGCGCAGGGGGACCAGCGGGGCAAAAACCCCGACTGCCACCGGCCAGATGCGGGGCAGTATTCGCGGGGAGCGTACCAGAACGCCTCTCGCTTTCCCTGCTCGCCCCCCGCCCCGCCCCGCCTCTCTCCCTCCTAAGGAAAGACCGCAGGCAACGACGAGAAGGGCCCGGCGCAGCTTCGGTTTGGAGTTGGTTTTGGTTTTTGACAGGGGAGGGATCTCGGACCTCCGGAGTGGGCGAGACTCCGGGAAGAGGCCCCGGCGGGTGAAAACGGCCTCCCTCTCTCTCTCTGTCTCTCTCTCGCCTACGTCCGCCAGCAGGGCTGGGGCGCGGGGGGGTGGGGGGGGGAGGAGGTCCCGGACCGCCTGCCTGAGGGCCGGCGCGCCCCGCTCAGGGCCCGGTTCCGCCCCGCGGGGCCCCGGGAAAACGGAGCTGCCGCCCGGGACGCTGAGGACCCCGGACCCGCCCGGCCGAGCCGCGCTCCCCGCAGCCCGCCCGAGGAGGCAGTGACCCGGCGGTGACAGCTGTCAGGGCCGCGGCCGCCGCCTCGCCTCCCCTCCCCCTCCGCGGCTCCCACAGGCGGGGCCGTAGAGTTGCCGCCGCGCCTACCCGTGTTGTAGACGTGCAGCTCGTCCGCGATGCCCTCGTTGCCCCCTCCAAAGATGATCATCAGCTCCCGGATGGCCACGGCCCGGTGTCCGTGCCGGGCGCGGGGGACCGGCCCCGTGAAGGAGGAAACCCGCCTCCAGTTGAGGAGGCTGGGAGCCGCCATCTTCCCAACCCCCGCCCCTCTGCCCACAATGCACCGCGCCCGCTCCGGCGCCTCCGCTCCCGGGGGAGGGCGGGGACCCGCCTCCAGCTGTGCGCCGGGGGCGGGGGCGGGGGGGTCACGTGACCGCGGGCGCCCGGGGCCAGGCTGGAGGCCCGCGGGGCGCGGAGGGGTCTCGGCCGGGGAGCCCCGCCCTCGCCTCCGGGCTACGTGTCCCGGCCGAGCCCGTTTGGCAACGGGCCTGCGGTTGGAAAGACCTTTCCTCCCGACCGAGTCTCCCGCCCCCAGCCCTCGCACAGGGTCGCCTCCCCCCCGTTTTGTATAGCGGGAGAAAGTACAGCGCTTGCCTTTACAGCCACTTTAATTGAGCACCTAGGATGCCCGGGCGAGTCAGGCTGGGAACAGTTTACAGCGCGACGGGGAGGAAAGCTCGCGTAGAGGTTCGAAGTGCCGCGAGCGCGGGGAGCCGAGAGGGACGTCTGCCTGCGCGGGCGGGTGGCGCGCGTCGGGGGGCGCCGGGCGTCGAGGATGCCCGCGAACGCCGGAGGAGGCGGGCAGCCTGCCCCGCGAGCGAGCGGCCGTCCCTGAGCCCCTCGGAGGGAAGGTCGGAGCCCAGCCTGCACCGACGAAGCAGGCACTTGAGCGTTTGGCGGCTGTACCCATGCCGAGAAGTTTAGGAACAGCGAGCCGCGGAAGGCTGGTTTGCTTCAGCAGGTGGGAGACTGTAGGTTCCTGTTTTATTGCTGGATAACGTGTGAGGGTCTTCGGTTGCCAAACGCAGTCCTCATTGCCTTGCGTGTGTGAACTCACGATTCTCCCAACGATCCAGTGCAGTGGGTACTGCTGTCTCCCTTTTCGTGGATGGGGATATGCGGCACAGAGAAGTAAAGCAGTTGTCCCCGGACACACAGCAGAAGCGGATTGGGACCGGGATTCAAACGCAGGGCTTCTGACTGCAGAGCCCTTTTCCCTAACCACTATACAATAAACTGCCTTTGCTCACATTCATCTATAATCCTAATAAGGCTGAGACGCTTTATTATCCGGTCCTATAACGAATCACACTCAAAGAGATACAATTCCAGAAAAAGACAAAAGATATTATTGAAAGCAGTTTAAATCTCTACCTCACACCCTCGAGAAGGTACCAAAGGGGGCTACACACAACATCAGGCAGATTTCCTAAAATTCCTTTTTCCTCATCTCTTATTTTCAAGTTCTCTCTTATGCCTGTATCATCCCCCTCTCCCCCAACTGCCTCGATCCTAAGCAGGCCTCTCCACCTTTTCATCTATCTAAACTTTCTTTTGAGAAGTGATTCTCTACCGTTTTAAAAAGGAATTCTCACTATTCTTTGAGCTGCCGCTTCTCAAGTTCTTCCTCTCACTTTTTTATTATCCCCATTTTGCAAGATGGTCAAAGAGAATTTGCAAGATGGTCAAAGAGAATTTGGCTGGAAACAAGGAAAGGAGCTTATGAATATTTATGTATTAATATTTTTCTCTGCCACAGAGAAACTCATAACATAAACTCTTAAATGTTTGTGCTATAAAGTATGCCTCTGAAACAATACTGGGAAAGTTGGGACAAAGCAGTGAGCTTTCACAGAACTTAAAATATTTAATTTAAAGAACTGTACCTTATTCTGAGAGTTGAGGGTTAACATGTCCTAACTTAAGAATGATGCCGTAAGTAGATGGTAGTGGTGTGTGTGTGTGTGTGTGTGTGTGTGTGTGTGTGTGTGTGTTTAATGCCTTTATAGCAAAAGACTAGTGACAAAATTGAAAGTTGTAAACCCAAGTTGTGTGTATGTTCAATGACTTTAGAGCAAAAGACTAAGGACAAAATTGAAAGTTGTGAACCCACGTATTTATGATATGTGGAAGACCGAACATTCCTGAATTGGGAGAAAGATGAAGGCCAAATATTCAGAGAAGAGATTGTAAGTCATAACTGGTTGTGTAGATAAGGAAGTGCAGGACAATGGAGGAACTGTGTGTTCGATTCCTAGAACTGCTGTGACAAAATACCACAAACTGTGTGACTTGAAACAACAGAAATTTGTTGTGTTGCAGCTCTGGAGGCTACAAGCCCCAAATCAAAGTGTCAGCAGGGCCCTCCCGAAAACTGGAGGGGAGAATGCTTCCATGCCTCTTTCTGGCTCCTGGCGGTGGCCATTGATCCTAGACATTTCCTGGCTTGTAGCTGCATCTTCAGTCTCTGCCTTCATCATCACAGGGTGGTGTTCCTGTGTGTTTGTGTCTCTTCTCTGCTTATAAGTTCACAGTCGCATCCTAATGACCTCATCTTAATTTGATTACAACTGCAAATAAGGTCACATTCACATGTATTGGGCATTAGGATTTCCACATATCTTTTTGGGGAACACAATTCAATCCATGATAAGGCATGCCATCCAATAGGAATAATATTTGACCACAGCAGCTTTGACTCAACCCTGCCTAGTGAGGAGTTTAGTATAGGTCTCTGATTCTCAAGAAAGCTACCTTCAATCTTTGAAACTGCAGGAATGGAAGTTACCGCCTAGAGGGAGAGTGTAGCAAGGGAAGAGTGAGGCAGAACAGCATCCCAAAGAAGCCAATCTTTCAAGAGGTAAAGACCAAAAAGGAGGCACTCATGAAGGAAATGGAGAATGAGGAGCCAGAGAGGTCAAAAGGGAACCGGGTGAGGGTGATGTCAAAAAAGCCACAGGTGAAGGGGGTTTCACAGAGGCGGAAGTGGTTATCAAAGCCAAAAGCCATAGAGAGGTCAGATAAGAAAAAGACAAGTGTCTTGTTGGATTTGCAAATTAAGAGGTTATCAGTGGCCTAGATTAACAGACTCAGTGGAATGGGAGAAGGAAAGCCACAGAAGATCAAAGTGAGTAACAGGGAGGGGCAGATAATGTGTATAGTCTATTTTTTACAGAGCCTCGCCCAGGAAAGGAAAGAAAATACAGTGGCTGCAGGGAGAAATGGATACATGGCAAGCTGTTACTATTTTGCATGGATGAGACGAGCATGTCTGAGGGCCCCAGAAGGATGCAGTTGAAAAGGAGAGCCTGTAGGAGCAATAGAGATGTCTTAATCAGTTTGGGCTGCTGGGGCTGACTCAGTCGGTAGAGCATGTGACTCTTGGTCTCGGGGTTGTGGGTTTGAGCCCCACATTACGTGTAGAGATTACTTGTAATCTTGGAAGTCCAAGATCAGAATGCCGGCACAGTCAGGTTCTGGGGAGAGCCCTCTGGCAGGTTGCAGACTGCTGACTTCTCGCTGTATCTTTATATGATAGAAGGGGGTGGGGTAGCTCTCTGCAGTCCACCCTCGTGACCTACACACCAAAATACCAAAGGCCCCCACCTCCTAGTTTCATCACCTTGGGGGTGAGGATTTCCACCTATGAATTTGGGGAGGAGGGCACAAATATTCATAGCAAGAGAATATGTCACTTGGAAATGTTTTCTGTTGCAAGTAGCAGAATATTCAACACGGAGGCTAAATGATAAGGCTGTTCATTATCTTGCACAAGAAATCTGGGGTAGGTGGGTCCAGGATTAGTTCAGTAGTTCAATAGTGTCACCGTTCTGGTTAGTGGCTCTGAATTTTTCTTGGCCTTGCCTTTGTGGTCATAAGAAGGTTGTTGCAGCTCTGGGCATTATGTCCTCACATAACCATGCCCGAAGATGTAAGGCAGGAAGACAGCCAGGATGGGGAAATAGAACTCTCCTTTTACAAGGAGAAAAAGCATCTTGCCTGGAAGGCATCTGGCACACTCACCCAAGGGTTTCATTGGCCAGAAGTAGGTCATTCAGTATATTAAGATTACATTCACTATACTGACAGAAATACCAAAACAATAATGGCTTTAAAAGCTTATATTTATCCCATAGAAATGAATTTTACAGGTAGCAGTCCAAAGCTGGGAGGCATGGCCGCTGTATTTCACCAAGTCCTCACGAATTTGTAGACTCTGTGGATTGGAATTTGTGGATTGGAATTCCTCCTTCCAACTCATGGTCCAAGATGGCTGCTCCAGCATCCGCTATTGAATCTACATTCCAGCCAACAGGAAAGAATGAAGGAAAGGAATATTCCCTTCTCAAGAATACATTCTGGAATTGTACATGTTATTTCTGCTTACATCCCATGAGCCAGTATTTGGCCACAAGGCCATGACTAGTTGAAGAACGTCTGGGAAATGTAGTTTTTATTTGGAATGGCCATGTTCCCAACTAATGTTCAAGGTTCAGAAAAAGAAGAGGAGAACAGACTTTGGGGGTCATCTTCCAGGAGGGTAGCTACAGGAGTTTGGGAAAGTAGTTTTGTTTTGTTTTGTTTTGTTTTGTTTTGTTTTGTTTTGTTTTTTGAAGAAACAAGCAAAGGAGAACGAAGTGGGAAGTGAAAGGTGCTTGAGCCAACCAACCAGGCCTGCCTCACGGAGGATTGACACTTGATGGAGCAGGATGCTGAAGGATAAAGAAACGACGGATTCAGAAATATACACAGGGGCACCTGGGTGGCGCAGTCGGTTGAGCGACCGACTCCAGCTCAGGTCAAGATCTCACGGTCCGTGAGATCGAGCCCCGCGTCGGGCTCTGTGGTAACAGCCCAGAGCCTGGAGCCTGCTTCGGATTCTGTGTCTCCCTCTGTCTGCCCCTCCCCCACTCACACTCTGTCTCTCTCTCTCAAAAATAAACATTAGAAAGCAAAGAGAAAACCAACTCTTCTTGTTGGTTTTAAGTGCCTAGGGAAATGAGAAAATTAGTAGACCCAATATTTTATTTGTTATCCTGTAATTTGAATCGTTAGAAACATTGAGAATTAAATGTTTGAGTGTGGGGGTTTTTGTTTTGTCTTGGTATAAAACTCAATCGAGGGTAGTTTGAACAGTGCTTACCTTCCTGTCTGTCATATAACTTATTGTACAGAGTGAGCATTTTTTCCATGCCTTGGCAAACTGTCATACTCCTTTCCAGATTTGGATCAGCTTTCTGTATTTTATTCTTTGCACTTCCGATGTCATGAAATATCTTTGAGATGA